TGTTGCTCCTGCGCTCATATGGCAACGCGTTTCAGTGAAACGGTTTCACCATCCCACCGTCTCCCCCTTGCTGGCAATCCATACATTATGAATCATAATGTTTTGAGGCGGCCTATTATGCAAAGTTTTGAATGCTAGGCAGTTGTTCTTGCTCTCTTCAGAGGTGACTTTTGAGTCGATTCAAAAGTCACCTGCTCTCTTCAGACATCATGTTTCATCTTCCCACCGTCCCCCACATGCAGGCAATCAATAAATTCTTTGAAAACGTCTTTCAGGTGAGTGTTTCTTTTAGCTTGAGTGGGCGTCTATGTCCGGTCCTCCCTCCGTTCACTTTTGTTTGCCTGGTTTTTTTGGTGTTTTTTTTGTTCTCGTTTCCAACATCTTTAATTTTCTTATAGGAACTCTTTCTTTCTTTCCTTTCCACCTCTCAAAGTCTTCCTTTCCATTCTCTCTCCCTTTCTCCTGCTCCTTCCTCTTCACCATCCTTCTACAGGGTGTGCAACGTCACATTGACTTCAATGTCATTCGCTGCCTGCTTATAGCGAGTCCTGGATTCACCAAGGTACTGCTGCCCATTGCTGTTCGCCACATCCTCTTTGTAGCAGCTCCCTCCCATATTAGCAGCTACCACACAGTGCAGATAGGATAGGACCAGCTCTTTTATGCTAAAACGTGGTTCTGAAATGTTTTGACTTATCCTTACTGAACCGTACCCCCACTGCTCATTAACACGCAGCGCTGGACCAATTCTTTGATTGTATTAATCTGTTCGAAGGTCTGGTATTTCTCCCTATGCTCCTCATTATGCCTCATAAACATAATCACTACCACACAGTGCAGGACCAGTTCTTTGACTATACGATGCTCCTGGAAGAACTGGTCCTGCACTGTGCTTCGTCCTGCACTATGCAGTGCAGTGCTTCTGGAAGCTTTAGTAACATCAACCTTTGTTACCCTCCTCCAATCACATCTACTGCACTGCAACCGTTTACCGCACAGCGCAGGACCAGTTCTTTGACTATATGAAACTGGAAGCTCGATGTTTTGTGGTGCCTCAAATCAAACCGTCTTCGTTCACCCATGCCCATCACTCATTACCGCACAGCGCAGGACCAGTTCTTTGAGTATATGATGCTGGAAGCAACGCGGCAGAACATCCGAGCCATCATTGAGAACAAGGCGAAGATCGTCCTCGCGCACTCCACATCTGGATACAAGTGAGCGCGGGATGCCTGATTGGTGTATGGTCGATAGCTGTGAGCCCGGGAGGCCATTTGTCTATTTTTTAGGCGCCTCAAAAATCGTACTCGCGCACTCCACGTCTGGATACAAGTGAGCGTGGGATGCCTGATTGGTGTATGGTCGGATGATCGATAGCTGTGAGCCTGGGGGATGCATTTGTTTGTTTGTTTTTTTTTTTGGGTTCCCAATTTTTCAAGTCAGTATGTCTAAGTCCGGATGAAGGATGCATGCATGCCCGTGTTTTTTGCAGGCATGCAGTAAAGGAGGTGCTAGCACTACCGGCTATCATGACTCAAATCAAAGACACCAAGGCAGCAAAAGAGGTGAGTGAGGCGTGGAGGTGGGTGGGTATGTGAGCAACCAGTGTGGGTGTGACTGGGGTGTGTTTGTGTGTGTGGTGCCAGGGTAGACATGCAGTGAAGGAGATGCTAGCTATGCCAGCTATCATGACCCAAATCTATGACACCAAGGCAGCAAAGGAGGTAAGACTTGGAAGAACTGAGATGAGATTTTTCATTCTGAATAGAATCCACCAAGGCTTGCTATATTTTTGTCAACACCTCACGTTTATTTATGCCCGCACTCTCATTTTTAGCCATTTTTAGAGATTTCATTTCATTTTCCCCTCGGTTCAAAGCTTGCTTTTTTCTTCCCTTTTTTCACTCCTACGTTCCTCTCCCCTCGCTCTTCTGTTTCTCCCGCCCACACGTTCACGAAATCCCTTGTCATGCCCGCCTCACCGCACCCCCTCCTCCCTTTCCCCCTACATTCCTATTACTATCATTATTATAGACAAACATTCCCTCTGCCTTCCTCTCTGTCCCCCCCCCCCTGAATCATGGCCAGGTCAAAGCACTAGAGGACTTCTACGCCATGCTCTCAAATGTATGTGCCACCACCTGCCCCTGTGATTGCAACCCCGTTGTCTATAGTATGCCGTTTCATGGCCCAACACTAACGCACTCTAGAGCTTCTACGCAACGCTCTCTCATGCATGTCCAGGGCATGCGAGGTGGCGAGTATGAGAGAGCGTTGCTTATGAGCTTACACCTTGTGATCCACACACCCTGTGCTGCTGCGCGTATGAGCTTGCTTCCTCACGTATCTGCCAGCGTTTTCTGTCCCTTACTCTTTGTCACGACTCCTCTTAGGCCTTCTATGGTCCAGGGCATATGGAGGCATCCCTTGCGCTGTCTGATGCCAGACGAACATAACAAATGCCTACCTTGACCCTGTTTTTTTGTGTGTGTAATGAGTCGATTTTTGAGTCGACTCAAAAATCGACTCATTACACACGGATGCCAGACGAACATAACAAATGCCTACCTGGACCCTGTTTTCTTCATCCCCCTCTCTCCAGGACTCCTCTCGGGCGCTCTACGGTCCCGGGCATGTGGAGGCAGCCAATGAGCCCCTTGCAATTCACACCCTATGCATCTTGGTTTTCCGGTGACAACCTTGGGTAACTCCCTTCTTCTCTCCCCACTCTCCAGGACTCCTCTCGAGCCTTCTATGGTCCTGGGCATGTGGAGGCAGCCAACGAGCGCCTTGCCATTCACACCCTCCTCATCTCAGACGACCTGTTCCGGTATGCGCATGGAGTTCAAGTCTTGACAACTTGATTATGAGATGTCTCAATGCATGGATCTTGAGTTATAAGATGTATCAGAGCGAGCACCTGGCCATTCACACACTGCTCATCTCAGACGACCTGTTCCGGTATGTGCATGGTCGAATCGAGTCAACCTATAATTTGACCCGATGTGCCCCTTGCCATTCACACGCTTCTCACCTCAGACGACCTGTTCCGGTACATGCATGGTTGACTTGAGTCAACCTATAGGTTGACCCGATGTGCCCCTTGCCATTCACACCCTTCTCATCTCAGACGACCTGTTTCGGTACGTGCATGGATGTTCTTGAGAATTCTCAAAAACACCCTGCAATTTCATGTCTTGAGAAATCTTGATTATGAGATGTCTCAATGCATGGATCTTGAGTTATTAGATGTATCAGAGCGAGCACCTTGCCATTCACACGCTTCTCATCTCAGACGACCTGTTCCGGTATGTGCATAGTTGACTTGAGTCAACCTATAAGCTGACTATGTGCCCCTTGCCATTCACACACTCCTCATCGCAGATGACCTGTTCCAGTACGTGCGTATCTTTCCTCTGTTTTTCCCTTGAATGCCTCTTTCTCCTGTTTTAACATTTTTTATCCGAGTATTTCAACGTCTCCCTTTCCTCCTCCCCCCCCCCCTCTTCCCCCCTCTCTTTCTTCCCCTCCCCTGCCCTCCCCTTCTTTCCTCCCACGTAGGAATGCGGATGTGAAGACAAGGCGGTGGTATGTGGATCTGGTGGAGTCAGTTCGAGGGAATGGCGGTCAAGTGCACATCGAAAAGAAGGGACCACTATTTCTGTGCCTTGTTACCCTTCACTCTTTGCAGGAATGCGGATGTAAAGATAAGGCGGCGGTATGTGGATCTGGTGGAGTCGGTTTGAGGAAATGGCAGTCAAGTGCACGTCTTCTCTTCCCCCTAAGCCGTCCTTCTCATCTGTGCATTTCAACCTTTCAATCCTAACAGGAATGCGGATGTGAAGACAAGGCGGCGATATGTGGATCTGGTGGAGTCGGTTCGAGGGAATGGCGGTCAAGTGCACGTCTTCTCCTCCTTGCACGTATCGGGAGAGCGTACGTACACTCACGCATACTTCAAAACCTCTATGTGCGTCTGCCTTGTTGATTGGGTTACATATAAAATACGCTATATGCAAGCACAATGTTGTTTGATGCATGTGTTGTGTGCGACTTCGCATCCCACTTTGTTCTGCACGTGTTTTCCGTGTATTTATTTTGTTCCTGTTCTCTTACACCTTATGCAGAACTGGTCAATCTCGCCGGGATCGCAGCAATCCTCCGCTTTCCGCTGCCAGAGTTGGAGGACATGGAGTTGTAACACAAGATAGTGGACCAGTTATTAGCAAGTCCCAAAGGACTAATTGGGATGCGATGAGGTGATGTGCATTTAGTGTTGTAAGCGTAACAACAGAAAGTTTGCAGCAAATGTGAAGGTGTACCCAGCGGTACCGAGGGATCAAGCATAAAGCGTCCCAAACACTTGTCCTCGGGCCATATTTCTCTGTGCGGCCGTATTTCACCCTGCAGTTCTCGAAACCAGCACGCCATGGGGATAAATCACAAGGTGTCAGTTTTGGACCTCACTACGAGGTTCAGCTGGGTTCCGTTACTTTCAAATGGGTTCGTAACGGAAAAGCTTCGGTATCCTGACGTCAGATCACGGGACATCAGGCTTTGAAGGGGGGTGCTTTAGTAGAAGTTTTGATCAAGTCGAACTTGACGTGCGAACCAGGCGTTCGTTGAATATTTACAAGTTTGCGAACTTAGGGCGCGAACTCCGAAGGGTAGGGGCGATTTGCATGCCTGACCAGGAGGCGCACGTTCCGCTCGTCACTGACGAAAAGATTTTGCGAAATTAGCGATCTTGATTACCAGCTAGGTTCAGGACCGAACCACCCCTTATACACGCCCTCAAGAGGAAACGAGAGAAAACTTTCTCGGTTTGAATTCATCATGGAGGTTCTCACGCCACCAAACCGAACCCCGCCCTGCTGTGCCCAACTTAACCGTTCTCCTCCTGGTCTGTCCGAGCCTGGTCTGGTCTAGACCAACAATTGTGTTGCGCTCTTTGCCATCTGTGTTCGCTCGCAGCATGCACAAGCAAGCTCACACATTGCATTGCACTGCTGTGCTGTGCGGGGCAGCACAGCAGCACTGTGCTGCGATTACCAGACACAAGATGAGCAAGAGAGTTCTACACGAAGGCCCAGAGGAGCACTCCTCCAGCTCATTTCTTTCCCTGTCCTTGAAAATGCCTTACCCACTTTCTATCCAAACCCAGGAGGTGCAGCTCTCCGAGATTTTCGAGTCACAATGGCCGGCCTGTATAACCCTAAAGTCGCACATTCAATCACCGCTGCTTACGCGACTCGCGCACACACCACTACCGTAGTAGCGTCCTTCTTACTCCTAGCACTTGTCCGATGTACACCGCCGGCGACGGCTCTCGATCCCATACCGAGGCAGATTACATCGAAGCTGTCTGTTGCTCGCCGCGGACGAGCCTCCGCGCGGACTTTCCCGCCCCACCCGGCCCAGTTTCTCGCTGCTCGGCGGGCGGAGAAAGCATCTGCAGCCGCGGAAACTACGTGGGTCCGAGAATCTGACGGTTTTGACAGCGTTACTGGGATTGCTACTACTAATGATGCTCCTAGTAAGAGTACTGCTGCTGCTGCTGCTGCTGCTGCCATACCGCGGGCTTCGGCGGCAAACAAGGCGGCTCTCGCGGCGATCTTCGCGGCGGCGCAGCTGCCTATTCCGGCGAACAAGCCGAACGCGTGCGCGTGGCCCGGCGTGCAATGCGCCGACAACGGCGCTGTTGAAGGGCTCTTCCTGTCTGGGAGCCCTCTCTCGCACCCACCGACGCCTCGCCTCTGCAACCGAACCGCGCGCGAACCCGGCGGAAAAGCTCCCGCAATTCTCGCCGCGTCTATCGGCCAGTTAACGGACCTTACGATTCTCGCTCTAACAAACCTCTGGCTCGCTGGTTCGGTCCCGCGGTCGCTTTCCTGGCTTACGAAACTCGGGTCTCTCGATCTTTCAGGCAACTGCTTCACTGGTTCCCTGCCCATCGCCTTTTTTCGCATGCCGAATATTTCCTATGTGAGGGCGGCCACGAATTTCTTCGCGGGCGGGTTACCACAGCGTCCCGCTGCGTACGCCGCGATGAAAGGGTTACGAGGGTTTGATTTGAGGGATAATCGGCTTTCCGGTCCGATTCCTGGCGCGCTTGCAACGCTGCCAAATTTTGAGGAGTTAATTCTGGATCGAAACCGGTTGTCGGGAATAATTCCGCCCGCGCTGCTGAAAAAACAGCTCTCGTTTTTATCAGTGCGTGAAAACCGGCTTTCCGGCGACCTGAGCGGGCAGCAAATAATGGCCAGTGGGATTGACTTCACCCGAAACAGGCTGACCGGGAATCTTGACACGATTGAGTTCGACCCGTGGGTGAGCTTCATCTACGTTTCGGAGAACCTTTTCTCGGGCAGCTTTCCGGAAATATTGTGCAGCGAAATGAGCAACGTTCAAGTCGCTGATTTTTCGCACAATCGCCTGACCGGAGTCGTTCCGGTGAACTGTTTCAATTCCGCAACCCAAGGGCTGCGCCAACTTTGGTTGGACCACAACAATTTCTCGGGCAGCTTGCAGCCGTTTACCAGGCTATCCGAGAGCATCACTTTTGTGGACCTCGGATTCAACAAGTTTTCAGGGAGAATTCCCCAAGGCCTCGCCACTCTATCCAGTCTGACTTACTTGGACCTTGGAGCAAACTCTCTGACAGGTAAGCCGACTGGGGAACTGCATGTGATTAAACGAGGTGTGGTTATCCGCGCACAGGACTATGACCACTCGTTCACTTCATACTTATCCCTAAGGCCCCATCCCCCCACCCTCCTCAACCGTAAGTCTCGGGCTTCCCACCACCCTGTCACAACTCTTCTTCCCACGCCCCTTTCTCTCCTCTCCCTTTCCCGTTCCCTCAGGCCCCTTCCCCCCCTTCTCCTAGCACCAGCAGGCTCTCTCTTTCGCCAACCCTAACTTCATCTTTTCACTCTTCTTTCCCTACTCCACCCCCCTGTGACTCTTCCTCCTCCCCCTCCCCAATTCCCCAGGCTCTTCCAGCACCAGCAGGCTCTCTCTTTTTCGCCAACCTTAACCCTTTTCTTTCGCTCTTCTTTTTCCGGTGTGCTTTTTCCCCCTCCGGCACTTTTAAGGCCCCATCCCCCCTCTCCCTTCTGCCAGCACCAGCCGGCTCTCGCTTTCGCTATACCTAACACTTTTTTTCACTCTTCTGTCCTCTGTGCTTCCTTCCTTCCCCACCCCCACTCCTCACGCCCAATCCCCCCCTTCTGCAAGGGCCAGCAGGATCTCACTTTTCTCAGCCTCAGGCTAAAACTCTGATTGTAAGAAGTCCCTCTCTGGCCCGCCCACTCGTTCCACCGCACCAGACACCCTCATATCCCTCTCTGGTCCGGACCTTGTTATTTCACTCTTCTTTCCCCTGCTCTATCCCTATGCCTCCTCCCTCCTCCCTGCCTCCCCCCCCACCACACCCCTCAGGCCCCATCCCTCCCTTCTGCCAGGGGCAGCAGGCTCTCACTCTCTCCAACCCGAACCTTGTTATTTCACTCTTCTTTCCCCTGCTCTATCACTGTGCCTCCCCCCCCCTCGTCCCCCTCCCCGACCTCCCCCCCCTCTCCCCACCCCTCAGGCCCCATCCCCCGCTTCTGCCAGGGACAGCAGGCTCTCACTTTCCTCAACCTCGCCTTCAATGCCCTCTCTGGCCCGCCCACCCCTCTCTCCTTCCCCACCTGCGCCCGCTCCCTCGCCGCCCTCTACCTCTCCTCCAACCGACTCTCCGGCCGCATCCCCGCTACAATCAGCTCCTTTAAGCGCCTCAGGTGGCTGCTTCTAGACAGAAACGCCCTCACAGGGGCGATCCCGGCTGGGGTGAGCATCATGCAGCAGCTGAAGGGACTGGGCGTGTCGTATAACCGGCTGTCGGGTCCCATTCCCGCGGCTTGGCCGCGAACTTTCGGTCAGGTGCTGCTGGCAGGGAACCGGCTGTCAGGGGCTGTTCCCGCTGCTCTTAGCAAGCTGAAACGGGCTTCCTTTAAGCCAGGAAACCCTAACCTGTGCGGGACTCCGCTACCTGCTTGCAAATGAAACCTCTTGTGTATAATATTGTCATGGTTTTTATGATGCCAAGATACTGCTAAAGCAACTAAGGCAACAGCTAAAGCAACTATCGCAAGCCTACACTTGGCTGGTGGTGACAGAGTACGTACCGTACCTGCCAGGTGGTGCAGGCAGGGAGGGAAGGGAACTGCTTCCTCTCAACAGCTGTTACAATTGCTGTCGGCAAGCTGGCAGGACAAGCCGTTTCAACCCTAAAAGCTTACCTCTGAAAAGGATGCCATCAGAAAGCTGGCAATCTCTTCGTTTCTCCTGAGCAAGCTGAAAAGCCATACAGCTCTGGCCTACTGTATTGTCATACTGAGGCCCCTATAAATAAGGTGCTGCACTAGACAAGACGAGTTAGAACTTAGAATGGATTCAGAGGTTAGGTAGGGGGTTGAGTGAGCCATCCCAGCAGAATGTATGGCAGGAGCCATGTCAACGGGCAAATTCGCAGGAGCCATGTCAACGGGCAAATTCGCAGGAGCCATGTCAACGGGCAAATTCGCAGGAGCCATGTCAACGGGCAAATTCGCAGGAGCCAGCCCTGCGGCGGACGCTCCAGCTGTTGGCACTCCTGCCTGATGAGCAGCAGCAGCAGCAGCAGCAGCCAGCTCGTCCCTTAGCCCCTCGTTTTCTGCATGCAGCTGTGCGTTCTCCTGCTCTTTTCCAGTTCTGGAAGCAGGGACACTGCTGCAGAGGGGAGTCCAGTCTGGCTGCACCCAGCTCGTCCCTTAGCCTCTCGTCCCCTCACTCCCTGGTGCAACCAGCTGCCCACTCTGCTGCTATAGCTGCTCCTCCTGAGGCGCCTCAAGTTGACAACTGAGTCGACTCAAACGCCAGCATGCAGGAAGCGTTCTGCCGCTCTAGCTGCTCTAGGCACCTCAAGTGCCGGAGGCGGGGATTCCTGCTGAGGAGATCGCTGCAGAGGGGACTCCTGTCTGTTGACCAGCAGAGACAGCAGCAGCAGCCAGCTCGTCCCTTAGCCTCTCGTGCCCTCGCTCTCTGCGCACAGCTGCCCGTTCTGCTGCTCTAGCTGCTCCTCCTGAGGCACCTCAACCTCAAGTGCCGGAGGCGGGGATTGCTGCTGAGGAGATGGCTGCAGAGGGGACTCCAGTCTGTTGACCCGCAGAGACAGCAGCAGCCAGCTCCTCCCTCAGCCTCTCGTTCTCTGCACGCAGCTGAGCGTTCTCCTGCTCCAGCTGCTCTATTCGTGTCGTTTGCTCCGAGTCCTTCCTGTCAAATGGAGAGGAGAGGAAGGGGAGAGGGGGAGAGCGTGTGTGATAAGGATTTAGGATGTGGGGAGGATGGGGGGTGAAGGGGGGACTGCGTTAAGGAGGGTGGGATGGAGAGACAGAAGGGGATGGATGAAAAATCTGCACCGAGTGCAGCTGCACCCTGGCACACACACAGCACCACACTGCACCATGCGGCACCGAACTTCGCCGCACAGCACAGAGGGGCACTCCTCCTCCTTCCCCTCCTTACCTGTTCATGAAGCTCTGGAAGGACTAAAGGCTCCTGTTCTCCGTTTCAAGCGTCTCACACTTGCGCTTCAAGGAGTCCCGCGTCTGGCGAGCCCAGGCCAGGCCACCTCCTATACAGCACAGCACCACTCTGAACCGCACAGAACAACAGAGAACTCCTTCCCCTCACCTGTTCATGAAGCTCTGGAAAGTCTTGAGGCTCCTGTTCTCTGTTTCAAGTGTTTCACACTTGCGCTTCAACACTCCCACGTCTGGCGACCCCAGCCCTCCTGCTGCCATGCCACCGGTACGCCCTTTGGCCTCTGCCATTCTGTGTGGGCCATAGAACGGGAAACAGGAAGAAAGCACATCCTGTTTGAATTAAACTTGAAAGCAGGGAAGTATGAAGGCCCCAGCTCTCCTGCTGCCACACCACGCCACCGATATGCCCTTTAGCCTCTGCCATTCTGCGTTGGGCAATTTGGGAGGTGGAACGGGAAGGGAGAGGCAGGAGGCAAGGTCTCACACTTGTGCATCAAGCCAGCCACCGTTTGCAACCCCTAACCCACCTCCTGCTGCTGCCCCCGCCACTCGTACGGCCTTTGGCCTCTGCCATTCTGCGGTGGGCGATGAAACGGAAACAGGGTAGGAAGCACCTCCTGCTTGAGCTGAACTTCAGAGCTAAACTTCAGAGCTGAACTTCAGAGCTGAACTTCAGAGCTGAACTTCAGAGCTGAACTTCAGAGCTGAGGCCCCAACCCTCCTCCTGCACACCAATACTGCCACCCTCGCCTTTGCGGCTCTGCCACCCTACGTTGGGCAATGGGAGTGGGAACAGGGAGAATGTGTGGGGGTGTGGGAAGGATGTGAGGGGTCAGCGAAAGAAAGGACGGAATGTAAGGGGACGGGGGAGAAGAGAGGTGTATGGGGAAAGGAAAGGGAACGGGATTCAAGGGAGAGGGATGGAGGTGAAGGTATTCGAGGGTGGTGTAAGGGGGAAATGGAGGCAGGGTCGGCTTCTTCATGGCTCGTTCTTGAGTGTTACGAAACACAATCTCAATTGCCCAAGGCGGAGCACTTACTTCCTTTGCCGCTCCACTCTGTGTGCCATATCCGCAACGAATCACCAAACAGGGTGCGGCGCGGGAGCCAGAGGGAGCGAGGCAACTCAGAAGACTGATGCCCCTAAAAGCTTGTAAGCAGGGGCAGGAAGACTTACTTTCTTTGCCACTCCACTCTGTGTTGACGCAAGGAATCCCCACACGGGGTGTGGCAACCCGAGGGAGTGTGGGCGCCCAAGGGTGTGAGGGAGAAAAACTAAAGGAATGAGAAAGGAAGCAGAAAGGAAGCTTTCAAAAAGCTCGTTAGGAGGGGCAGTACGACTTACTTCCTTTGCCGCTCCACTCTGTGTTGCCGAGAGGAATCACCAAACGGGGTGTGGGAACCCGAAGGAGTGAGGCAACCTGAGGGAGTGAGGGAGCCTGTTCTAGCAAGCCCATCACAGGGATAGTCCAAGGGGCCCGATCCACCCCTCCGCGGCTGCTGCCCCTGCTGCTGCGCTGTTGGGCTATCAGCAGTCATGGCACTAGCACTCCTCTTTACCCCAGCCAGCTTTTGAGTCGACTCGAAAGCATGCTGCACCGGCTGCTGCCCCTGCTGCTGCGCTGTTGGGCTATCAGCAGTCATGGCACTAGCACTTCTCCTTACCCCAGCCAATGCAGCACCAGCGCCAGCACCAACGGCACCACCAGTGGCAACACCAGCCGCAGAAGCACCAGTAGTTGAAGCAGCAGCAGCACTACCAATTCCTCCGTCCCCCGCCAACTCCCCCCCTCCTCCTGCAAACCCTGCATTCCGATGCTGAGGCGCCTCAAAGCCATATCCTGCATTCAGCAGCCGAGCCTCTCCCAGGGGAGAGTGGTTAGCAGGCGTGACCAGGAGACTGGGGGAGGTGAGAGGGCTATCTGGGGAAGGTACACCTGCACTGGGAAAAGGTACAGCTGCACTGGGGGAAGGTGCAACCGGGGAAGGTGCAACTGGGGTATGTTGGAAGGACGGGAGGGGCATGGAGGAGGGGAGTTGCACTCTGAGGTGGTTGCGCAGTCTGCTTCTAGGGCCAGCGGGCTGGTGAAGGGTGGTGGTTGCGGGGTGCTGTTGCTGCGGCTGCTGCTGCTGCTGCTGCTGCTGCTGTTGCTGCTGCTGTTGCTGCTGCTGTTGCTGCTGCTGTTGCTGCTGCTGTTGCTGCTGCTGTTGCTGCTGCTGTTGCTGCTGCTGTTGCTGTTGCTGCTGCTGTTGCTGCTGCTGTTGCTGCTGCTGTTGCTGCTGTTGTTGCTGCTGCTGCTGTTGTTGCTGCTGCTGCTGTTGCTGCTGCTGCTGCTGCTGTTGCTGCTGCTGCTGCTGCTGCTGCTGTTGCTGCTGCTGCTGCTGCTGTTGCTGCTGCTGCTGCTGTTGCTGCTGCTGCTGCTGCTGCTGCTCCTGCTGCTGCTGCTGCTGCTGCTGCTGCTGCTGCTGCTGCTGCTGCTGCTGCTGCTGTTTTTGCTGCTCAGACTGGAGCCCTGAACCCACGACCCCAAAGGTTGGAGTGCTGGGAACGGATCCAGGCTCCCCTGAAACTGCCACCGTGGGAGTGCCAGGAAGGGAGCCCGACCCAGCCAACCCCCCTATCCCTGCTGTAGGAGTGGCAGGGCGAGACCCTGACACCCCCCCGGTCACAGGGTGGGAAGCTACAGTGCCTTCAGAGGTGCACGGACCTGATGCCGGACCTGACGCCGGACCTGATGCCGGGCCTGATGCTGGGCCTGACGCCGGACCCGAGGCTGAGCCTCCAGGTGACTGTAGGCCAGCGCGGGTTTCAGCTGCACCGGCTGTAGTTGTGGCAGCAGCAGCGACAGCAGCACCAGCAGCAGCAGCACGAATATGAGAATTCCCTTGTGTGGCAGTGACAGGATGAGCAGCAGCAGCAGCAGCGGCGGCGGCAGCAACAGCAGCAGCGGCAGCAGCAGCAACACCAGGAGGTGGCGTACCAGGGGAATGACGCGGGTGGGTGGTGGTCTGGGCTTGGTGCGAATGGGAATTAAGAAAAGGGGCATCGGAATGGGAGGGAGTAGGAGTGGGAGAGCCAGAGGAAGGGGATAGGGGAGTGGAGCGGGGGGTGGCGCTTCTGGTGGGGCTGTGTGCGGGTTTCTTCCCTCTCTTGCGTGCCAGAGTACTGTTGAGGGGGGAGCGATGGGGAACGGAGGAGGTAAAGCAGGGGGGTGGAAGAGAGGGTTGAAGGAACGATTATGAGAGAGGGGGGGTATGTACCAATGGGCACAAGCCTTCCATATTCGACAGAAGCACAGCACAAATGTCACAGTGCCATGCCTGCTCCCATTTTCACTCTACAAGAAAGGCACAACTGCATTCAGGAGCAAAACAGTAGAAACGTACCCCTTAAGCAGGCTGACACCTGACAACACATTCCTCCCTCCAGGTGCCACAGCAGATAGATACCACACTGTCGTGGCCTGTTCCATTCCCACTTAATGAGAGAAACGAACCTGAATCCCGAAAGAACGGACTGAAGACTTACCCTTTAAGCAGGTTGACGACTGATGACACATTCCTCCCTCCAGGTGCCACAGCAGATATCACATTCCCGTGTCCTGTTCCATTCCCAACCGAACCTGAGTTAGGCATGGGAGGCCCTGTAGCAACAGGGGCTCTTTCCGAGCCTGATGCTGAGGGTGAAACAGGGTGAGCTCTTTCCGAGCCGGAGGTTGGGAAAGCAGGAGCTTTTGCCGAGCCTGAGGTCGGGAACGCAGGAAAACTTGCCGAGCCTGAGGTTGGGAAAGCAGGAGAACTTGCCGAGCCTGAGGTTGGGAAGGAGGACAGGCTAGCCAAGGCTGTGGCGGGGGGTTGTGGTGATGCACTGTTGGTTTGGCGTTCGAGCACTTGCTGCTGCTGCAGCTGTTTCTTCTGGCCCTCCTGCTGATTGTGCCCCTCTGATGATTGCACTAAGGCGTCCTGCATCTGCTGTTGGTGTTGTTGATGTTGCTGTTGCTGCTGTTGATGCTGCTGCTGCTGCTGCTGCTGCTGCTGCTGTTGTGATTGCTGTGATTGCTGTGCTTGCCGCTGCTGTGCACTCTGGTTCGCCCTATTCTTAGACCCCAGCTTGTTCTGCAGTCGATGCACCAATGACGACGCAGGTGCCCGAGCCATTTGACGTGTTCTCACCCCATTAAACTCCACCCCTCCTGCTCCTGCTCCTGCCCCTGCCCCTGCCCCCAGGGCTGTCCCTTTGCCTCCAGGAGAAGGCGGAATGGGGGGTTTCGGGGGAGTCGATCCAAGCCTACTGGCTCCGAGTGAAGCAAAAGTGGCACCAGCAGCACCAGCAGCAGCAGCAGCACCAGCAGCATCACCAGACGTGCCAGGAACAGGAGCTGCATTACCATTACCGGCAGGAGACCTACTAGCATTAATACCAGCACCAGCACCAGCACCAGCACCAGCACCGGCACCAGCACCAGCACCAGCACCAGCATTAGCAGCAGGGGGCATGTGCAGATTCCCGAGGATAGCAGCAGCAAGAGCAGCAGCGGAGGAGGAGAGAGCAGCGAGGTCCACCTGGGAGAGAGGCCCCTGCAGCGCGGCGATGGTGGCCTGCAGGTCAGAGGGGGAGGCTAGTCGTTGCAGGAGCTCGTCCGTGGAGAGAGGGACACCCTGGGCATTCACCAGCCGCCTGGGTTGGAAATCAGGGTTGCGGGTATAAGATTTGGGGTGTTAGAATGAGAGCAGAGAGGTCCAGCTGGAAGAGAGGCCCCTGCAGGGGGGCGATGGTGCCTGCAGGTCAGAGGGGGGAGCTAATTACTGCAGGAGCTCGTCTGTGGAGAGCGGGAGGCCTTGAGCATTCACCAGGCGCCTGGTTGGGGTTTAGAGGTTAACAAAAACAGGGTTTGGGGTGTGTTAGTCTGAGGGCAGCAGCGGAGGGGGGGAGAGCAGCCAGGTCCACCTGGGAGGGAGAGAGGCCCCTGCAGGGCGGCGACGGTGGCTTGCAGGTCAAAAGGTCAGAGGGGGAAGCTAACCGCTGCAGGAGCTCGTCTGTGGTGAGGCACGCCCTGGGCTTTCACCAGCTGCCTGATTGGGGGTTAAGGGATGCACAGAATAGTGGGTATCACGTAATGCGAGAGAGGGCCCTGCAGGCAGTGAGGCGACGGTGGCTTGAATGTTGAAGGTCAGGGGGCGAGGCTAGGCTAATCGTCATGGCTGATAGGCTAAGTTGTAGGCTAGGCTGAGTTAGATTTTTGAGAATTCTAAAAAAGCTACCTTGGTCCTTGGCTGGGCTAATCGTCATGGCCGATAGGGAGTGAGACAGAATAAGCATACCTCAACAACTGGGCTGGGCTGGGCCGCCTACCTAAGCTCCTGGGATTCGCTCCTACTGAGCGGGGTGCCTTGAGACGCAGCAGCAGCCCCTGCAGTGAAACCTGGTGCGTACCTGAAATGAACCACTAGCCTGACCTGAGTTCCTGGGACTTGCTCCTTGTGAGAGGTGCCTTGAGACGCAACAGCCCCTGCAGTGTGTGATTCGAGCAGACAGGCAAGCAAGAGAGGCAAGCAAGCAAGAAACTCACTCGACGGCAGACGGCACACACATGGATAGTGTCGTTCGAAAATCAGGTGTTTAGGCAACAATTGCCTGGCTAGGCAAGTCAAAAACAGGGAACGCGGAATACCGAGGTGCAAGGGAGGGTTGGCGAGGAAATGCGTAGTCATATGGAAAATGAATTCTAAGAAAGAAGTAACACGGCACCTCAACAGGTAAGACATACAGCATAGTCAGGTGACTGCTGCTGCTGCTGCTGCTGTTGCTGTGGTGTGGCCATGCCCATAGTTGTTCTGCAGTAAAAATCCAACAGCACACAGGACAGGTGAAAAATGGAAGTTTAAGGGACAAATGGAAGGGGGAAGAGTAGGTGTGAGTGCGCGTGTGAGAGGTCGACGGGGGGTTGGGGGGCAGGGGGAAGGGCGGGAGGCGGGGGGGAAGAGGACGGGGGAAGGGAGATGGCAGGAGGTAGGGTGCTTTTGAGAATTCTCAAGAGCAGCCTGCAAAGTCAAGCAGGACAGAAAGGGACGGGTTGGAGAAGGAGCGACAGAGTCTGCTTTTGAGGCGCCTTGCGTGAGGTGAGGAGTCTATTTTCGAGGCGCCTCAAAAACAGGACAGAGAGGGACGGGTTGGAGAAGGAGCGACAGAGTCTGCCTTTGAGTCAACTCAACGGGGGATGCGTGGGTGGGAGGAGGCAGGAGTATTTGAGTCGACTCACGATACACCTCGACTGAAAGGGGGATTGCAAGGGGGTATGACAGACAGGGACGGGTTGAAGCGGGGGAGACGGAGCGAAAGCCAGCAAAGGACTCGCCCATATGGGCAGTGGAAAATGCTCTAGTTATCGCACCTGCGCTGATGGGGAGGTGTCTTCTGCTGTTGCGGAGGCATCATGTGCTGCTGTGGAGGTGTTATCGGCTGCTGGGGAGGTGTCAACTGTAGCTTCTCCTGCTGAATTTGCTGCTGCTGATCACGCTTAACGGCCTGCTGCAATTGCTGCTGCTGCTGCTGAATCTGCAGCCATTGCTGCTGCTGCTGCTGCTGCTGCTGCTGAGGTTGCTGCTGCTGCTGCTGCTGCTGCTGCTGCTGCTGCTGCTGCTGCTGCTGCTGCTGCTGCTGCTGCTGCTGCTGCTGCTGCTGCTGCTGAGGTTGCTGCTGCTGCTGCTGCTGCTGAGACCCAGATCCTACGCCCCAGGCCACATCAGACCCACCCATTGATGACATGGCAAAGAGAGATGGCTCACTGCCGTTGACTAGACCATAGCTCCCTTGCCGTTGCCCTTGGTATTGCTGCCCTGGCTGCCCCTGCCCCTGCCCCTGCTCCTGCCCAAGCTGCTGCTGCTGCCCCTGCTGCTGACCCTGCCCCTGCTGCTGCTGTTCTTGCACCAGCCTCTGCTGCAATTGCTGCCGTATGGTGGGGCGGGGAAGGTTGGCTGGCGGAAACGGTCGAGGCGGCATTGCTTGTGCTGGGGAGTTGGCTATCTGTAATTCGGGCAGGAAGAGAAAAAAAACCACATGTAGAAACAAGAGGCACATTTCAGAGGGAGGTTCAGTGTTCTCGAGGGTCCTTAGAACGCTCTGTTGGTGGGTGGTTATTTAGCAGGAAAGTGATAGGACAGAGAATCTGCCTGCTGGCTGAGAATATATTATAGGGATTGCACTCCGATTAGAGGGGAGCGAGCAAGCAAGCAGCCAGCGCCTTTCATCAGCCGACAGCCAGCTCTAGAAGAGCTCCTCACTGTTGAGCTGGAGCTGATTTTCAAGACTCAGCCAGGCATGACCTGACATTGCTGGCACGACCTCAAGTCAAGAGCACCACGAAACTTGCAGCATCTTACATCAGCCGACAGCCGGCTCTGGAAGAGCTCCTCACTGTTGAGCTGAAGCTGATTTTCAAGCCAGACTCAAGCACGATCTTGCAACCTCAAGTCAAGAGCACAGGAAACTTGCAGCAACTTACATCAGCGGATAGCCAGCTCTGGAAGAGCTCCTCGCTGTTGAGCCGGCTGAGCTTCGGTGAAGGGTACACCCCTGCAGCCGTCATTCCTGCTCCCCCCATTCCTGCTCCCCCCACGCCTGCTCCCCCCATTCCTGCTCCCCCCATGCCTGCTCCCCCCATGCCTGTGCCAGCGCCCAACCCTCCCCCCGTGCCCAATCCACCGCCATTTCCACGGGCGTTCCAGCTATTAGGTCCTCTCCCCGCTGCTGCGCCTACGTTTATGGGCGGAAAGGGCAACGGGGAGACCATGCCCGCGCCATTGGGAACACAAGCTTGCTCCCCCGCCCCTGCTCCCCCCTGCCCGCCCGCGCCAAAGCCTAACGAGGAGGGCGCGTTTGCGCTGCTACTTCCCCCAGGAGCAGCAGCAGCGGCAGCAGCGGAGGCGGTGGTGTCTAGGAACGATCGAAGAAAGAGGTCTTCAGGGGACATTGAGGCGGGAGGGTCCCCCGATGCTGCATGGGATGGGAATTGCCGGCGGAGGAAGGGGAATCCGGGGAAGGGGAAGACAGGGAAGGGGAAGCGGGGGAAGGGGAAGACGGGGAAGGGGAAGCGGGGAAAGGGGAAGACGGGGAAGAAGCCATGCGTTTCTAAGGAACGAACTAAGGAGAGTGTTTCAAGGGACATTGAATTGAGGTGGAAAGGCCCCTAGATGCTGCATGAAACGCGAAGGCCAAGGTCGGAAAAGAGGAAGAAGAACCGGTGTAACTTTCTTGGAAGGGGGGAACAGAAAGCACATAAGGTCAGAAGGCAACGGCGGGTTTTTAAGTGGGTGTCATTGATCCTCACATTGGCTATTCGTTAGTCTGTTTCATTAGCAGGTCAGCTCAACATGTCATTATGGAAGCACACGCTAAAAGGAAGAAATAAAGGAACGGAAAAAAATGTTTTTAAAAGATGAACAAAACAGAAAAAAATAGCACTAGGGGATACTGGTGCACGTTGCTCAGAATCTCTCACCATTATTGACGCCTCCAGAGTTCGCTACGGCCATGGCGTGAGCCTGCAGCTCGGTGGAGATGCTTCGCGTGATGCGACGGTTTGAAAGGTCCATAATCGAATCCTGCTTCCTAGTAGCGCGCTGAGTCAAAGTCTAGTTTAGAGACGTCCCAAAACCCGCGAGCCTGCAGTTGGGTGGAGAAGCTTCAAGTGATGCGAAGGTTTGAAAGGTCCATTATCTAGTCGTGCTTTCAAGCGTGCTGTGTCAGTTCGGGCCGAAACGCAATTTCTAGCACGAGCCGGACTGAATCAAGGGCCTCCAAACAGGAGCAATGCAGTTATCCAGGTCAGAGCGGGATATGAATATGAATAATCTATCGCAAGCAGCAACGAATAGTTAACGCACTTAACATCCTTGACCAAAACGACCGGCAGTGTGTGGGGACAACCGTCTGTAGCGGAGAAGCTTAGTCTCAGTACGATGCATTACCTCTCGGACCAGCTTCTAGTACAGGACACCGCTTTGTAGAAGTCCTGTCTAACCTAGGGAACTGGTGCTGCTAACACAACGTCAACCAATATTGGTTTCCAAGACTGGTTGAGTTATTTGACGTTGGTTCCCAGCGCAAAACCTTCTCCCTCCAGCAGCCCAACCGCTGCTTTCCCTTCCGCCAATTACAATTGAGTTTAATCAACTTCACCTGCCCAATGCGTTGGCGCGATGGTGGCAAACCACTTTGCTTCTTTCTCGTCCTGCCCGAACAGCCGTTCGGTTCGGCCGGTCTGGTCTGGCCACAGTGATGTGCTTTCGCCGGTTTCGAAGGGCTGGCTGTCCGTCCATCAAGCACCTGCACCGAGCAGACCGAAGCGCACTCTGTCCATCTGGATCAAGACCATCAAGCTTCTAACGGAGAAAATATGATAAAAATCTGTTTCATTCTCCTATATGTACAAGTGGTACAACAAAGCACCCACCCAACAACCTTGCATCACCTACAAAAACTACGAATACAAATGTTCTTTTGACAAGGAGATTCCATGAGGCACGCCAGCAGCCAATCAGACTCCTCACTTCACCCCCTTCACTCCGTTCCTACCATAGCAACCCCCCGCCATCATCCACGTGGCTCCTCGATAACAGCACCACGTGCCATCCCTCCACTGACCCCATGGCCTCCAGCAGCTACAGACGACAGGCCCCAAATACGGACAGTCCGGTCATCGGAGGCTGTAGCAAACATGTGCGGCCGAGTGGCCGGCCATGAGACGGCGTTCACAGTCCCAGAATGCCCTGGAAGGACCTCCATAACCTCCCCAGTGTCGCGATGCCACATGTACACCTACATGTAACCAATGTACAGTGTAGACAGTGTGAGCCTTAGAATATGGCGTTTTTGAAACTCAGGATAAGAAAGACACAAAGAAATTGGTGATATAGTGAGGGCATAAACCCGGCTCAGCTAATTATTGTTCACTTAGGTGTCATCACTTACCTGAGCATCTTCACTGCCGCTGATGATAAAGCGCTGGTCATGGCCGCCAAAGCAGGAGCGAATCACAAAGCGGCCTTGCACCTGAAAGAAACAACCAAACAAACCAATGCAGGATTAGGGTAGTAAGCTTGAAACATAAACGGAAAAAACTATCACAGCAAAGCGGCCTGACCGGTAACAGCATATAAATGGGTAGCTATTCCCTAACAAGCGTTCGACCCAAAGTTTTCACCTGCCCGCTGTAGGAAAAGGCTGGCTTGTCGGGAGGCTTGGCAGCACAGATGTCCTGAATGGACCAGAGGTGGATGTCGCCTGATGACAGGTTCACCAACACCCACCTGGTTGTTTGAGAAACACGGGGGGGGAGGGAGGAGGGAGGGGAGGGAGAGGGAGGGAGAGGGAGGGAGAGGGAGGGAGGGGGGCATATCATTCTTTAGGCACTGTCGTCAGGCAGGAGGCTTGATTGTCTCCACGGGCCACAGATGAAGACCTCCTGATGACAAGTTTACCAACACCCATCTGGTTGGTGAAAAGGGGAGTGTGTACACGGAGACTTCTAGGCGATTTTTTAGAATTCTCAAAAATCGCCTACAACATAAAGGGGAGTGTGGTTACGGAGACTTCCATCACAGGAAAAGGCGCCTCAAAACACGCGTGGTGGGACCGATGCCCTAAATGGGCCAGAGGTGAATGTTGCCAGATAAAAGGTTGACAGCAGCCATGAGGTTGCTTCTAGTGAGAAGGGGAGGGACAAAGGGACAGAAAGACAGAGGGACAGAGGGACAGAAAGACAGAGGGACAGAGGGACACAGGGACAGAAAGAAAAAGGGACAGGGGGACAAACGGACAGAGGGACAGAGGGACTGAGGGACAGAGGGACATAGGGACAGAGGGACAGAGAGACATAGGGACAGAGGGACAGAGGGACAGAAAAACAGCGGGACAAAGGGACAGAGCACAAAAACTGTAATAAAAGCAAAAAAAAAGTCAGAGCAAAAAAAAAAAGGAGCCACAAAACTGTAGTAAGAGCAAAAAAACTGTAGTAAGAACCATAAAACTGTAATAAGAGCCAAAAGAACTGTAGTCAGAGCCAAAAAACTGTAGCCAGAACCAAAAAACTGTAGCCAGAGCCAGAAAACTGTAGTCGAAGCAAAAGAGAGTAGTAAAAGAAAAAAAAATGTAGTAAGAGAAAAAAAACTGTAGTAATAGCAAAAAAAACTGTAGTCGGATGAAAAAAAACTGTGGTTGGAGACAGGGGAACGTGAGCCCGGGTCCCCCTCACACCCCCCCTCACATCCCCCTTCACAACCCCCCTTCAGCAGCTCGGGAGGTGGGGTGATGTAAGGGGTGGTGTGGAAGGGGTGTGAGGGGGGGTGTGAGGGGGACCTGGGCTCACTTTTCCCTGTCTCCAACTACAGTTCTTTTTGCTCTAACTACTATTTTTTTTGCTATTACTACAGTTCTTTTTTCTCTTACTACAATTTTCTGACTTGATTTATTCTTATTTTTATTTTTTTGCTCTTACTACAATTTTCTGATTTTTTTTTATTTTTTTTGCTCTGACTACAGATTTTTTGCTCTAGCTACAGTTTTTTGGCTCTGACTACTGTTTTTTTTACTCTGACTACAGTTTTTTTGGCTCTTCCTCGAGTTTTTTATTCTTACTACAGTTTTTTCACTCTGACTAGAGTTTTGGGCTCCTACAATTTTGTTTGCTCCGGCTACGATTATTTTTGCTCTTACTACAATTTTCTTGCTCCGACTATAGTTTATTGCTCTGACTACAGTTTTTTGGGCTCTTACTACAGTTTTCCGGCTCTAACTACTCTTTCTTTATCTGACTACTCTTTTTTTATCTGACTACAGTGTTTTTGCTCTTGCTACAGTTTTCTTGTTCTTACTACAGTTTTTTTGGCACTTACTATAGCTTTTTGGCTCCTACTACTTTTCCAGTATTTCTCATTTTTAGGCGCTTCTCCATGTCGCCTCACCTGTTGTGTTCACCCATGTCGCCTCACCTGCTGTGTTCACCCATGTCGCCTCACCTGTTGTGTTCACACATGTCCCCTCACCTGCTGTGTTCACCCATGTCGCCTCACCTGCTATGTTCACACATGTCGCCTCACCTGTTGTGTTCACCAATGTCGCGCCTCACCTGCTGTGTTCACACATGTCGCCTCACCTTAGGCTTGAGCATGGGTCGGGTACCCGGACCCGGATCCGCTTTTATGGTGGGTCCGGTATTTGGATTCCGGAATATTACCCGGCGGGTCGGGTCCGGGTTACCCGGGCGGGTATTCGATGCCCGTTACCCCAAACGTTACACAACAGGGCGGGTAACGGGTACCCGTCGGGTCGGGTAATTAATACCCGAGGTCGGGTATCACTCCTAGACATGGGTGTAAGTCGCGCTGTGTATTAGGTTTTGCGGCAAAACGATTTGGGAGGTGAGGGGGGACGAGCGGAGCATTTGTGAGGAGAAGTTGGAGTTTGTAGATAAGGAGGAGTTAAGTGCGGTGAAAGGGAGGTGGTTGGGTGGGAGTCGGAGAAAAGGTTGGAGTTTGTAGATGGGGAGGATTTCAGTGCGGTGAAAGGGAGGGAGTTTGGTTGGAAATGTTGGAGTATGTAGACAGGGCGGAGTTCAGTGCATTTTACCCGACCCGGACCCGACCCGAAAATACCCAACCCGAGGTCGGGTATTGCAAAACCGGGTCAGGTCGGGTAATTACCCGGTTTTGCTCAACCCTACCTCACCTACTGTGTTCACACATGTCACCTCACCTGATGTGTTCACACATGTCGCCTCACCTGCTGTGTTCACACATGTCGCCTCACCTGCTGTGTTCACACATGTCGCCTCACCTGCTGTGTTCACCCATGTCGCCTCACCTGTTGTGTTCACATCACACATGTTGAGGGAGGTAATAGGTTGATGGACATGGTTTCACTAACCGCGTGGGCTTGGACTACGGGCCACCTTCTATTCAGGGCGTGTCCCTACGTGACACAATGTCACGATACTTCGTGCCAAAACTGTATTGACGGGCAAATTTGACGGGCAAAATCCCGAATGACACGATGCAGCCTGACGTCGTGTCACGTAGGGACACACCCTCAGTCCCTCGCGCACACGTGTATCACAGAGAAACCCTCACCTCTGCGGAGGGACGTGACGGACTTGGTCTCCTCAACCACGAGGGCTACCTCACTCACCTTGCCGTCCACCGACATACAGAGGGACATAATAGACTTGGCCTCCTTCACCACGTGCGCTAAGTTGACGAGCCACCTTCCATAAGCATGGGCAATAGGCGAGTCGAGCATTACTTGCCTCGAGTAATTCTGACTCGACCCTCTTGGGAGGCGAGTCGAGCATTACTTGAGCCGAGTTTTTTTGCCAAGAACCCGATACGTTTACTAGCTTTTTAGGCGAGTAATCGTTTTACTCGAGGCGAGTAATTTTTACTCGCCCTAAGGCAAGCATTACTCGCCTCGGGGGCTGTTTAAGAGGGGAGTGTTTGAATGCTAGACACTTGATTCTGGCCTGGCAAATGCTTGTTAAACACTCGGGCGGGCAAGCCAAAAAACGTTCGGCAGGTAAAAAAGGGTTGGTTAGTTGGGGGGGGGGGGGGGCAGAGCATGTTCTAGGAGGCGATATGGCGGCTTCTCTAATTGCGTGCGAAATTAGGTTAGAAGAATTGATGGGAGAGGGATACTGTGCGCCCTCTCTCACACAGAACGTGTTACAGGGGGAGGAGGGAGGGGGGAGGAGGGGGGGAAAGGAATTTCGTAGTTGCAGACGGGTTCAGTGCAGTTGAAAAGTGGGGGGAATTGGTTGGAAGTCGATTTCTGGCGACTTGGTGACATTCCGCTCAAAATTCGCAACGTCGAGCAGTTGCGATTGGTTTCTTCGCAATTTCTCAAGGGCAGCCACAGAAACAAGAAAAACAGCCCAGCGTTTTGCGTTTGTGGTCACATAGCTTTATTTAGGGCTCTGAATTGTTAGGCCAGTCCAAAACAGCATGGCATGCACGCTATGTGTGAGCAGAGTCAGTGCACGTGGAGAGTTCT